CCCGGGCGCGCTGGCGGCGGCAGCGCAGGGCCGCGCGGGCGTCGTCAGCAGCAGCGCCGCCGCGGCCGAGGGCTTCGGCGGCGGCGGCGGCTCGGGGCGCCCCTGGCGGCGCGGGGCGCGCGTGGAGGGCGGCGGGCGCGGGCCGCGGCGGCCGCGGCGCGCGGCCGGCGGTGCGAGGCGCGCCTGAGGAGCGGCGGGCCCCCGGGGGTCGGCCGTGGGGCGCTCTGAGTGGCGCCCTGGCTGCCCGCCCCCTCCGCCCCCACAAGTCCACAGGGCCCAGGAGTGGCTCAAGGGAGCACGGGCTGAATACGCCTGGGAGCCCTTGCGTGTCCCAGAAGAGCTCTAACATGCCGAACCCCTGGGGGGGATATCTCAGTGGCTTAGCAGTTGCCGTGGTCAGATTCGCAGGTCACCTGTTCCTGCTTCGCATGCGAGACCAGGCAGGGCTTCTTGCCAGGCGACTGTCTCCACGCCCCCCTCAGCGGCTCCCCCTCCGAGCATCTGCGTAATGCATTGACGGCCGTACATGTTCCCTGCATCTGTCAAGGATGCCAGGCGGCTCCCTATCCGCTCGTGGGTGTGCGCCCAGGCCTCCTCATGCCGGGCCGCCATTTGGGAAGAGGGGATCGGGCCCTTCTCCGGCCCGTCCTCCCCGGATCTCCGGGCATCGCGGGCGAAACCATGGCGACGGGCGGTTTTGGCCCCTCGTCCTGCCTCGTCTCCTCATCCTCGTCCTCCCCCCGGCACCACCAGACTGTGCCCGCCTGGCCAGACAGCTATCCCCCGCGGCCTCCAGCCCGTGGCCGCAGAGGCCGCCGTGCGGCGGCGCCGCGCGTTGCAGGTGTGGCCAGTGATGAAAATTGGCCCACGGGAAGGGGGCCGATGTGTCCGCGAAAAAGTCACGACGTCGGAGGGCTGGGTGCGCCTGCTGGTGTCGCAGCGGCAGCTGCAGGCGCAAGGGTCGTCAACGGCAGCGCTGTCGCGGTGGCGGGTCGCGCAGCGGTTCATTACTGCTGTTCGCGCAGCGGCTGGCAGCGGACATTGCTTGGACCGCTGTCGCTGTCGATATCGCTGCCGCGACCTCGTCATGGTTCGAGCTGTCGTCGTCTCCGTCGCCTCTGCGATTCCACAGGATTCTCCACTCGGCCTCGAAGGAGATCGCAACGTCGTCGTCGTCGTCGTCGTCGTCGTCGTCGTCGTCGTCGTCGTCGTCGGCTGCGGCGGACAGCGGCGACGACGGCTCGCCGAGGCAGGTGCGCAGCGGATGGCCACCCTCGCCAGGTCCAGGAGCGCGGAGGCCGGCGAGAGCGGAGCCGGGAGCCCCAGGGGCTCCTGGAGGCGAAGGCGAACCGTCGAAACGCTGTCAGGAGGAGTCCTATAATCATAGGATTTTTGAACCTCTACAATTTTAAAACAAATATTATCCCGACAAAGCAACCTAACAGCGATGTGTAGGAGCATATCTGGAAGCATTCCCCTTAAGATTCAGATGAAAATCCAGTTGTAGAATTCTGCTGTTCTCGCAGTCGTAGTCGCATTCGCGATGACAGTCGCAGTGGCAACAACAGTCGCAGTCACACAGCCTCAGCCTGCCTCAGCCTCAGCCTCAGCCTGCCTCAGCCTCAGCCTGCCTCAGCCTCAGCCTCAGCCTGCTTCAGCCTCAGCATCAGTCTCAGCCTTCAGCCTCGGCCTCAGCCTCAGCCTGCCTCAGCCTCAGCCTCAGCCTCAGCCTCAGCCTCAGCCTCAGCCTGCCTCAGCCTCAGCCTGCCTCAGCCTCAGCCTCAGCCTGCCTCAGCCTCAGCCTCAGCCTGCTTCAGCCTCAGCCTCAGTCTGCCTCAGCCTCGGCCTCAGCCTCAGCCTGCCTCAGCCTCAGCCTGCCTCAGCCTCAGCCTCAGCCTCAGCCTCAGCCTCAGCCTCAGCCTCAGCCTCAGCCTCAGCCTCAGCCTCAGCCTGCCAGCCTCAGCCTGCTCAGCCTCAGCCTCAGCCTCAGCCATCAGCCTGCCTCAGCCTCAGCAGCTGCTTCAGCCTCAGCCTCAGCCTCAGCATCAGCCTGCCTTCAGCCAGCCTCAGCCTCAGCCTCAGCCTCAGCCTGCCTCAGCCTCAGCCTGCCTCAGCCTCAGCCTCAGCCTGCTTCAGCCTCAGCCTCAGCCTCGGCCTCAGCCTCAGCCTCAGCCTCAGCCTCAGCCTCAGCCTCAGCTGCCTCCTCAGCCTCAGCCTGCCTCAGCCTCAGCCTCAGCCTGCTTCAGCCTCAGCCTCAGTCTGCCTTCAGCCTCGGCCTCAGCCTCAGCCTGCCTCAGCCTCAGCCTGCATCAGCCTCAGCCTCAGCCTCAGCATGCCTCAGCATCAGCCTGCCTCAGCCTCAGCCTCAGCCTGCCTCAGCCTCAGCCTCAGCCTGCTTCAGCCTCAGCCTCAGTCTGCCTTCAGCCTCGGCCTCAGCCTCAGCCTGCCTCAGCCTCAGCCTGCATCAGCCTCAGCCTCAGCCTCAGCCTCAGCCAGCCTCAGCCTCAGCCTCAGCCTCAGCCTGCCTCAGCCTCAGCCTCAGCCTGCTTCAGCCTCAGCCTCAGTCTGCCTTCAGCCTCGGCCTGCAGCCTCAGCCTCAGCCTCAGCCTGCCTCAGCCTCAGCCTCAGCCTGCCTCAGCCTCAGCCTGCCTCAGCCTCAGCCTCAGCCTGCTTCAGCCTCAGCCTCAGTCTGCCTTCAGCCTCGGCCTCAGCCTCAGGCTGCCTCAGCCTCAGCCTGCATCAGCCTCAGCCTCAGCCTCAGCCTGCCTCAGCATCAGCCTGCCTCAGCCTCAGCCTCAGCCTGCCTCAGCCTTAGCCTCAGCCTGCTTTAGCCTCAGCCTCAGTCTGCCTTCAGCCTCAGCCTCAGCCTCAGCCTGCCTCAGCCTCAACATCAGCCTGCCTCAGCATTCAAAATGTTCCCCGGGAATGGAGTTCTGGGAGCTCGAAGAACACGAAGTGGCCTACAGTTGGCTCCGGTTGCCCAGGAATGGAGTTCTGGGAACTCGACGAACACGAAGTGGCCTACAGTTGGCTCCGGGCAATCAAAATCATGCCCAGGAATGGAGTTCTGGGAACTCGAAGACCACGAAGTGGCCTACAGCTGGCTGCGGGCATTCAAAATCATGCCCAGGAATGGAGTTCTTGGAACTCGAAGAATACGAAGCGGCCTATAGTTGGCTCCGGGCATTCAAAATCATGCCCAGGAGTGGAGTTCTGGGAACTCGAAGACCACGAAGTGCGTTACTGTTGGCTAAAAAACGAATCCCCGGATCCCGTCCGGCATCTGCCCAGACCCCCCGGGGGAGTCATGATGCTCTCTTTTGAGACCACTAGAAACCTATCAGTCCTCGCTGTTAGGTAACATCCGATATTTAATACATAGGATTTGTAACGCATTTGATGTTTTATATACGATTTTTAATACATCGGAATTTAAATACATGATTTTTTTAATATAGGACTTTAGTACATGATGAATATATGAATGAATTGATGCATGAATGCATCGTTGTTTTTCATGCTAAATCCCTGCATTTTTAATACATGATCCGCACGCGGAGCATGTATACAAAAAACGGCACCGTATAACGAAGGAGCGAGGCCCCTTTTTTGTCTCCATGGGTGGAACTTCGATTTCCCAGCGGAAAAAACTACCCAAGGAGCATCTGAGACAAGCTGTGAAACAAGGAAGGAACACCGGGCCGCTTCCCAACGAAAAAGGGTTCCTCCTTCAGCGGCCCGGCTGTAGGGACCCTGGCCCAGACCCCCGACGTCATGATTTTTTCATGACATCGGCACCACAAGGTCTGGACCCACTCCCCAGGACCAGTTTTCGTCCCGAGTCGTTTTTAGGGCCACCCAGAAACCAAAAATGGTGAGAAACCTCCCGTCGTGTTTTTTGTCACAGCGCGAGGGGGTCTGGGGACACTCCCTCGTTGGACAAAAACCATGACGGACGGTTTTTGCAAACTCTCGGTCTTCGGGGGCTCCCACCGTGGGGACCGTCACAACACGGCCGCTCGGGACGAAACCCCCGGTCCCGGGGAAGGGGTTTCCAGACCTCCCGAAGACCAGCTTGAGCAACACCACGACAGGGGATGTCTGGGGAGAGCGGGAGGAAGATGGAGGGATGGAGGCGAGGAAGGAACACGCAGGCCCAGACCCCCTCGCGCTGCGAACAAAGAATCAAGACGGGAGGCGTTTCGCTATCTCCTGCCGCCGGGGGCCCCCCCACTGGGCCTCGGGACCAGCAGAAAGGACTCGGGATGAGAAGCTGGTCCTCTCGGGAAGGGGGGCCAGACCTCTGGGGGCCGCCGTTGTGAAAACATCACGACGTCGGGGGCAGGGCTGGACCTAAACGGTGTTCTTCGTTTTCGTTTTGCTTTCGTTTTTCTTCGTTTTGTCTTCAAATTCGCCTTCAAGGCAAAATGAGATCGAAACGAAAACGGCCCACGAAATCGCCAAAACACCGTTTAGGTCCACCCCTGGTCGGGGGTCTGGGGGGAAGATGGAGGGATGGAGGAGAGGAAGGAACACGCAAGAACGTGTCGATCCGACGCTATATCTGGCTGCATAGCCCGAAACGGCACGCGGCTGAGGCAAACCAGCCCCTCCGACGTCTTGTACAACTCAATGCAAGATTAGTGCCGCCTTGTTTACCGTCCGGGAACACTTCTTCAGGATCGGACGCCATCGAAAACCATCGGGGATGCAATAACAGTTCTTTCGAACAGGGTCGAGAGCGCCTGGAGACCGCACAAATGGGGTCGACATATAGATGGGGTCCGAGGATCGCGCCGCATCGCCGATGCAGTGGCAGCCTCGGCGTGGCGGGAATCGGGCTCCACATCGAGCCGCGTCGCCGATACATCGGACCCAGACCTCCGACGTCATTAATTTTTCATGACGTCGACCCCCAAGCCAGACCAGAGGTCTGGACTCATTCCCCGGGACCGGCTTTTCATCCTGCAGTCGTTCTTTGACGGCCCCGAGGGCCGGGTGGGGGCCTCCAGAGGCCACAAATATGGAAAACCTCCGGCTGTGACTTTTGTCACCACGCGACCAGGCATCGCTCGGACGTCCATTTCCCGTGCATTTTTCGGTTCCGTGCGTGTTTGTTTGGCTCGATGGTCCAGGATGGTCCTCGATGGCTCTCGCCGAGAAAAAACTCACACGTCCGAGCGATGCCAAGGCGAGGGGGTCTAGGGAGGCATGGGGTAGATGGGGGGGGGGGGCGCGGAGGCCCTCGGCGCTCGTGCCAGCACTCCCCGCCCGCCTTTGAGGTCCGACGTTGCAACAAAAAAAAATCGGGCCGGGCGAAAGGGGGGATAGCAAAGGGGGAATCAGCTCACGTAGCTGATTTTCCCGGCGCCTCCCCTCGCCGGAGGCAGCTATGTATCGAGGAATGGGCCCCTCGGTGGGGCCGAAACCAGCTACATGCAGCAGATTTCGTACCCCCCCCTTTCCCCAACCCCCCCTTTCGCCCGACCCGAAAACATTGCGACATCGGACCCCCAGACCCCACCTCTCGGCGTCATTCTTTTCGAGCCGGCTCGATCTGTGAGGGTCCCCTGGGCCCGACATGGAGCGACACCGCCCAGCTCGAAAAAAAACTGCGGCGCCAGGATCTCAGGGGGACGCCCCGCCCCTGCTTACTCAAAAAAAGACAGCGCCCGAACGCGCAGGGCACCGTGCACGTGCGCGCCACGCTGCAGGCGTCGTGCCCTCGCCCGCCGCCGCCGCCGCCGGCTTCACGCGCCCCCCACGCGGCCCGGGACTCGGGGACGCCATGATTCCCCAGTGAGAGGCCTCCTCGAGTCATGGAAAAATCACGACGGGAGGTTTTTCCATATTTTCGGCCTCTGGGGCCTCTGGGTCAAAAAACGACTCAGGACGAAACACCGGTCCTGGGGAATGGGCCCAGACCTCTGGGGGTCAACGTCATGAACAAATCATGACGTCGGGGGTCTGGGATCCGAGACCTCCTCGATGGGGCCCGAGTAGATGGGGTCGAAGGATCGCGCCGCATCGCCGATGCATCGCCGATACATCGGCGATGCGTCGGCGATGCATCGGCGATGCGTGGGCGTGGAGAGCACCGGGCTCTACATGGACCGGATCGCCGATGCATCGGCGATGCGGCGCGATCCTCTGACCCCATCTGCTCCGACCCCATCTGGGAGGCCTAGACCAGTTAGGCTTGCTTGGTGAAAGGTTGGTGCCTTCTGTTGTTACTTTGCCCGATCCTCGGAGGTTCCTCGGGCTCCTCGCCATCCCCGGTGCCTCCTGTTGTATACGTTGCCCGTTGCCCAAAGGTTCCTCGGGTTCCCCGGGTTCCTCGAGTTCCCCGGGCTCCCCGGTTCCCCAAGTTCCTCGGGTTCCCCGGGTTCCCCCGGTTCCCCAAGTTCCTCGGGTTCCCTGGGTTCCCCGCCCCCGTCGCGCCGGGTTCATGTTTTCATGACGTCGACACCCAAGGGTCTCGACCCATTCCCCAGGACCGATGGATCATCCCGCGTTGTTTCTTGACGGTCCCGAGGCCCAGTGGTGGCCCCCAGAAGCCGAAAAGAGGGGGAAACCTCCCGTCGTGATTTTTCTCATGACTCGAGGGGTTCAGGGGTGGGCGCGCTGCCCAGCGCCAGAAGATCAAGGTCGGCGGCTCCGGAGCGGAACTGGGCAAACCCAGAGGTGCCGATATATCGCCACTCCCTGGACCTCTCCCCGGGAGGCGTTTGGACTCGCATCTCGGAGCGCATCCGGCGGTGGCGACGAGGGCCGCCCAAGGAGGCCCAAGAAGGGGAAAACGGGCGAGGGGGTATAGCTATGGGTACCTCCCCCTCCTCCGAGGACCGGGCCTCTCCCCGGCGAAGGATTGCAAAAAAACCCTTCGAAGGTTTTTTTTTGCAATCCTTCGAAGGTTTTTTTTTGCAATCCTTCGTGCAATCCTTGGGTTTTTTTGCAATCCTTCTCCCCCCGCGCAGCGCGGCAGCTCGAGGGCCAGCCAATCGGCCCAGCGGCCCCGCCCCGCCTCTCGGGGCAGCAGTGCCCCGCGCCGCCCCGGCCCCCGCGGCGCGCTTCCCGGGGTCGGGCTTTCGATGGGGCCCTCCGCGGCGCGCGGGGGGTGCCCCCCCCCCTGGGGCGTTGCCAACGGTGCCCGGCTCGGGCCGCAGCGCGTCGAGGACTCGGAGCGACGCGGACCCATGGGATCCTGAGGCGACCCAGACCCCCTCGAGTCGCGACACAAAATCACGACGGGAGGTTTTCCGCCAATTTCGGCCTCTCGGGGCCACTACTGGGCCTCGGGAGCGCCAGAAAACGACTCAGGACGAAAAACTGGTCCTGGGGAAGGGGTCCAGAATTCTGGGGGTGGACGTAATGAAGAAATCATGACGTCGGGGGTCTGGCGACGCAACTTTTTCGGCGGCGCCGCTCCAGGGTGCGGGGGTAGAGGCGGGATCGGTCAGCATCGGACCGTGTCGGATCTGGCCGCATCGGCACGGGGTCGGAACCGAAATCGGGGCAGCCCCGCCATGCTGCACGACGGCGGCATGCAGGCGTCGGGCAGCACTGGGCCGCCCGACATGCGGCGAGGGCACTGGAGGAGTAAGCCAGGGGGAGAAGGTGTCGCCATAGGAAGGCACCAACTATACACCAACACCGATGCCGGCCAGGATCACCCTAGGCCCAGGATCGGTGTATACGCCCTCCTGCCTTGGGCAAGAAGGCATATACACCGATCATGGGCCCAGGGTGATCCTGGGCCGGCATCGGTGTTAGTGTATAGTTGGTGCCCTCCGATCTCCAGGGCCTGGGAGCCGGTGGGACTCCTATCGTGGATTGGCCATGGATGTCACCGCCGACCGATCAGCTCAGGAGCCCTTGCCAGGGTCCCCGGACCCCGGACGTCGTGGATGCTTCCTGGCGCGGAGCCCCGGCGGTCTGGACCCGCTCCCCGGGGCCGCTTCTTCCTCCCGAGCCGCTTTTTGTCCGGCCCCGAGGCCTCCTCCTCCTTCTCCTCCTCCTCCTCCTCCTCCTCCCCCTCCACCTCCTCCTCCTCCTCCTCCTCCTCCTCCTCCTCCTCCCCCTCCACCTCCTCCTCATGCTCCCTCCTCCTCATGCTCCTTCCTCCTCCTCCTCCTCCTCCTCCTCCCAGAAGTCTGGACCCCTTCCCCAAGACCCGGTTCTTCATCCCGAGCCGCTCTTTCATGGTCCCGAGGCCCGGTATAGGGCCCCCCTCGCAGGCCGGAAATGGCGAAAGATCTCCCGCCGTGATTTTTGTCACGGCTCGAGGGGGTCTAGACCCCTTCCCCGGGACTGGTCTTGCGTCCTGAGCCGTCTAGGCCGAAGATGGCAAAACATCTCCCGTCGCGATCTTTTCACGACTCGAGGGGGCCTAGGCCTGGAGCCTCCTGGGCACGTTCCTCAACCATCGCCCCCACCGGGCACCCCTCAGAGCCGACGTTGCAACAAAAACTACAGTATCGCGCAGAACATCGCGACTGGTCCCTCGGGCCCCATCTTGCTGCGTGCTTGTTCGAGCCGCATCGATCTGAGAGGGCCCCGGGGCCCGAAATGGAGCGAAGACGCCCGGCTCGAAAAGATGGAGTCGCCAGGATCTCAGGGTTCGCAGCTGCGCGGCGCAGCGCATCGCCTCCTCCTCCTCCTCCTCCTCCTCCTCCTCCTCCTCCTGACGGATCGGTCTGGCTAGGAGAAAGGGACGCACGAACATGGGATTTGGAGGTCCCGTCGTTTTTTTTGGTCGATGCTGCATTTTTTCCTCAAACGTCGGATCTCAGGGAATAGGTCGTCGCTGGGGAGGGCAGGGACGCGCGCAGCGGCGAGGGGCCGCGCTCCCCAGACCCCCGACGTCATGATTTTTGTCATGACGTCGAGCCCCAGAGGTCTGGACCCCTTCCCCAGGAGCCCGTCTTTCATCCTGGGCCGTTTTCTGACGGTCTCGAGGCCCGTCACGGTCTCCCAGAAGCGGAACATAGCGAGAAACCTCCCGTCGTGATTTTTACACGACGCGAGGGGGTCTGGGTCGCGAGCTCGAGCAGCTGAGGCTCCACAGGGCAGCAAATTCTCGCCGAACGCGAGCCTGCCTCGTAGCGGCCCGCCCCGTGCGATTGATCCCCATCGGGGGCGAGGGGGACACGGCGCGTACGGAGAGCAGCTCGCCACCGTCGTCGTCGTCGTCGTCGTCGTCGTCGTCGTCGTCGTCGTCGTCGTCGTCGTCGTCGTCGTCGTCGACGTCGTCGACGTCGTCGGCGTCGTTCTCGTCGTCGACGTCGTCGTCGTCGTCGTTCTTCGTCGTCGTCGTCGTCGTCGTCGTCGTCGTCGTCGTTCGTCGCCGTTGTCGTTTGTGGTGGTGGTGGTCGCGTCGTCGTCATCGTCGTCACCGCCGCCGCCGCCCCCGCAGCCGTCGCCGTCGCCGTCGCCGTCGCCGTCGCCGTCGCCGTCGCCGTCGCCGTCGCCGTCGCCGTCGTCGTCGTCGTCGTCGTCGTCGTCGTCGTCGTCGTCGTCGTCGTCGTCGTCCACCACAGACGATGGTGGTGGGATCTCCTTCGAAGGCGAGGATGCCCCGGCGCGTGCGTTGAGCAGCTCGCAGGAAGCGACGAAGTTGAGCCTCATCTCCTCCTGCCGCGCTGCATCTGTTGCTGTCTTCCTCCCCGAAGTCCTCTGACGTATTTCCTGGATTCCATGTGATTTTGCCCCTATGTTGACCTCCGGGAGCGAGTCTCGGACCTCGGGACCATCAGGAAATCACCCGGGAGAGCAAAAATGATCCAGGGAAAAAATGGAATCAGGAGCTCTGGGCTCCAAGGGTTAACCAAAAAATGACGTCGGGGGTCTGGGATTCCTGCTTCCCCCCGTTCCTCCCCCCTCCCTCCAACATCGTTCCCTCGATCTATCCTACAGCCCCTCTCCGACTGCCTCCGCCACGTCGCTGCGCGCGTGGTCGCGACGCCAAAATGTGTCTTAGCTGACATTCCTGACATTCTTACCGTGCTCTGATGCCATCTCTCTCTCTCTCATTCTTTCTCTATGCCATTGGCTTTTCTTCCCTCCCCCTCTCTCTCTCTTTATCGCTCCCCGTCTCCCTCTCCCTTCCACTCCCTCCCTCCCTCTTTTTCTCGCAGTATGTTTCACATCTAGACATGCTAGAACCATCGCGCGCGTTTTCCGCGGGCGCGCTCAAGTTCTAGCGCATGCCAGGGGGTGCTTCCTCAAGCGAGTGCGGTCGCCGGGTCGAAGAGCAGAAGGAGTCATAATCCTTATCACTGTTCAGATCATTATCGTCACCATCATCGTCGCCGGTGCCATTCAGAATATCGTGATCCTACTCCTCCTCCTCCTCATCATCGTCATCAGCATCATCACCGTCACCATCAGCATCATCATCATCATCGTCATCATCATCGTCATCATCATCATCAGCATCATCATCAGTATTAACACCATCAGTACCATCGCAACCATCATCATCACCACCATCACCATCACCAACACCACCATCCTCCTCATCATCAAAATCATCATCATCATCATCATCATCATCATCGTCGTCATCATCATCATCATCAGCATCATCATCACCATCATCATCATCACCATCATCATCATCATCATCATCATCATCATCATCATCATCATCATCATCATCATTACCATCACCATCACCACCATCATCACCATCACTACCACCACCAGCATCATCATCATCACCACCATTATCATCATCGTCGCAGTCAGCACCAGTATCAACATCAACACCATGAGCACCATTTCTACCATTATCGTTATCATCAGTATCACCACCATCGCCGTCATTACCACCATCACAAGCACCATCGTCGTCATCGTCGCCAGATCGCTCTGTCGCGTGACTTAGCTTGCACTGCTATTGGAGCCCCCTGGGAGCCGTCCGAGGCCGCGGTGCAGGGCCCGAAGGTGATCTCGGAAGGGCTCCAGGAGGACCCGAAGAAGGCTCCTGTGGGGCCCTCGAGAGCAGTGAGAAGTAAACCATGCGGGCGCTCTCTCGCGTGACTTCGCTCGCACTGCTGCGGAACCCTCTGGGGACCCTCCGAGGCCGCGTCGGAATGCCCCACGAAGGGCCGGGAAAGGCTCCAAGGGGGCCCGACGTAGGCCCCCCCAGAGCCTGGAGCGGCAACTCAGGCGTGCGCTCCCTCGCGTGACTGCGTTGCCGCCGATCTTGAAGCCCGCTGCGAGCGCCTCCACGCCGCGGTGGAGCGCCTCCACGCCTCAAGAACACCCCTCCCACTTGTAGGGCCCAAAGAGAATCGTGTGCCGTCTTGGGCCCCCTGGGGGCTGCATTTGCACCCTCGTGGGGGCGTCTAAGGCTGCCTTGGGGCGATCCTGAGTCGTCGTAGGCCGTCTTCGGATGTGGAGAAACGGGAAAGGCAGAATGGTGATACGCGTAAAAAAAAGAAAACCTACGATTAGGTCGGGCATGTCCTCCGACAGGCGGGCTTTGGAAGAAAAACGAACACAGAGTCAAACACTACTCCACCATAGTCAGAAGAGCACGATCAATCGCCCCCATACTTTTTGTTGCTATTCTTGACTTTCCTTCTGTAGAGAGACACGCCCGCCTTAAACTTAAGACAGCTCAGCTCATTGCATTTCTCGGGGCTCTCGTAGGACTGCTCTTGGAGGCATCTTGGGCCGCCTTGGAGGCCTATTGTGCCGTGGGAGGCCTTCGCGGCCTGTGGGGCGCCTCTGCAAACGATTCGGACGGTACTTGGATCGTCTTGGGGGCCTCTGGGAGCTCTCTTGTGCCGTTTTAGGGCCATCTGGGACGTCTCTGGAGCGCCTCGTGTGCCGTCTTGGGGCCTCTTTGGGCTGTGTTGGCACCTTCTTGGGAGCGTCTGAAGCGGTCGTGGGGCGACCTTGGGGGCCTCTGGGGCCGTCGTAGGGCGTGGAGAAGGGCGAAAGGCGTAATAGTGCAACAACTCTTGAACACTTCTGAACAAAGTATCCCAGTGCGACCCTACCTAGGAGTTGGAGCATTTAGGAAAGCAACATCTACATCTACACCGGCAGCTACATTTACTATGCTATGCTATGCTGCGCTATGCTATGCTATGCTATGCTATGCTGTGCTGTGCTATGCTATGCTGCGCTATGCTATGCTATGCTATGCCATGCTATGCTGCGCTATGCTATGCTATGCTATGCTATGTCGCGCTATGCTATGCTATGCTAGACTATGGTATGACATGATATGCTGCGCTATGCTATGCTATGCCATGCTGCGCTATGCTATGCTATGATATGCTGAGCTATGCTATGCTATGCAATAATATGCTATGCTATGCCTGGCTATGCTATGCTGCGCTATGCTATGCTATGCTGTGCTAATGCTGCGCTGCGCTATGCTGCGCTGCGCTAATCTAAGCTAAGACAAGCTAAGCTATGCTTAGCTAGGCTAAACTAAGCCAGGCTAGGCTAGGCTAAGCTAAGCTAAGCTAAGCTAAACTCAGCTAAGCTAAGCTAAGGTAAGATGAGATAAGCTAAGTTAAGCTAAGCTAAGCTTCGCTAAGCTGGGTGAGCCCAGGGGGCGCAACTGGGGGAACCGCGGGGCGGATACTGGGGGAACCGCCAGGGGCGATTTGCACTGCCCGGCCCTTTAAGCCCAGAGAGTAAGAACCCTTCTAGGCAGAGCCTAGGTAGGGAATGACTGATTTTTGTTTCTTCGGACCGTCGTGGGAATGCTATTGGGGACATCTTGGGTCGTCTTGGAGGCCTGTTGGGCCGTGGAGAGGCCACGTGGAGCGCGTTTCTTGAAGCGTCTGGGGGTGGGCGTTCTGCGCCGTCTGGAAGCTTTTGTCGAGCGCCTCGGGAGCGTGATGGGCCACCTGGAAACAGCCACAGGCGCCCGGGAGTGGCTCTTGCAACGCCCCAGGAGCGCCCCGAGGGCCCCGAATCGCCTCTGGGGCACCTCCGGGCCCCCCGTGCCCGTCATGCGCTGTCGAGCCCCAGGCCCCCAGGCCTCGTATACGGGAGTGCGCACACACATGTATACATATATATACATATATAGATATATATGTATATACAAACTCATAAATGTAAGACGTGTGTGTGTATACATAAACATAATATACCCTTAACACTGGTAGATGAATATGTTGGCAGCCAGGTACACGTGTATGTACACACCTACATATGCATACATCTGCATACACATATACATGTAGGTATATCGATGCACATATGCAAATGCCCAGCTCCCTCATGCCCGCCCGCAGAAGATCCCGACGGACGAGAGAGAGAGAGAGATGACACTGATGCACGAAAGGGCTGTTCCGCGGATCATTCCGGCTGGCGCGCCCTGCACGAGCGCTCGGCCGTGTGCGCGTAGCTTCGCCGCCGCCCGTCGTGGGATGCCACTGGCGGCGAAACGCGAGCCCTCTGAGCGTGAGCTCTGTGGGCGTGAAATCCGTTGCCTGTTCGGCCAGCGTCGAAGGTCGCGAGTCGATTGGAAGAAACTGGAGGCAGCGCATCTCGCGGGGTCTCCGGATTCGCCCCGCGTGCCTCCCCCCTTCACCCTTCTCCTCCTCCTCCTCCTCCTCCTCCTCCCGTCCCCCCTTATCGCCCTCCTCCTCCTCCTCCTCCTCCTCCTCCCCACTTGCTCCTGCGCCCTCCCCGGGGGATGATGCTCCTCCGAAGGGCTCCGAATGCAGAACAAAGCAGGGGACAACAGAAGAATTGTGGGTGCGTGCAGCGCCCAGGCACAGCGTCTACAAGGCGAATTGATGAATTCGTGTTCCCCCTCAGGCCTTCAGGGCCGCAGGCTCTTACGGCGCCGCCCGACGAGGCGGGCGGCCAGGCCTGAGGTGGGCCCCCAAGCGCACCTGGACCCAGACATCCGGCTGCTCACATTTTTTCGATGCGTGGCCCCCAGAGGTCTGAACTTCTTTGGGCTGCACGCGAGAGTGACCCTTGACCTTTGGTGCGCGGCTTTTTGGGGGCCGCGGGGGGGCCAGACACAATCGCACAAGACGCTACTACCGCATCGCGTTCGGCGATCGGGGGACCCCAGTGGGCCCGTACCAAACGTCACTCTGGCGAAAGGTCACTCTCACGTGTAGTCGACACTTCCTGAGGGCGGGCTAATCGTCCTGAAGCTTTTTTGACGGTCCCGAGGCCCGGCGAGGGCCCCCGAAGGCCGGCCGAACACGGCCAAAAACGCCCGCTCCAACTTTTTGTTTTGAGCGTCGGATCTCTGGGGATGGATGCCGCACCGGGCGCGCAGCGAAGACGACTGCACGCCAGGAAAGCCCCGCGGCGAAGAAATGTACAAGCTGGCGCCACCTCGCCCAAGGTGTGCGCGCCCGTGCTTTTGCGCTCGCGCCAGGGCGCTGGAGCGCTCACCCTGGCCGGCTCAGGCCTGCCGCTTGGCCCCGTTCTTCAGCTTCTCGACGGTGATCGTCCCGTCCTCCATGTGCCACTTCTCGTTGCAGATCCTCTCCACGAAGTCGGTCTTGGGCTCGATCATCAGGATGCCTCCGCGGAACATCGTGAGCGCCTTGGCGAGCGCCTCCACGGTCTCCACGTCGAGATAGTTGGTCGGCTCGTCCACCGCGATCAGGTGCGGCTTCGTCCAGAACATAGCGGCCAGCGACAGCCTCACCTTCTGGCCCGCAGAGAAGCCCCGAATCTGCCGGTTGCAGCACATCTCCTCGTCGATGCCGAACGCCTCGCAGTGCCTGACCACCTCGCGCCTCGTCAGTGGCTTCTGGTCCAGGCCAGCCGCCTTCGCGGCGATGCGCTCGTCGCAGGCGATGACCACCTTGTCCAACCCCATCGCCTTGAGCTTCGAGATGGTCTCCACCGTGTTCTGCTTGGGGTCGTCCAGGCCCTCCCAGCGCACCTCGTAGGCCAGGGTGGAGCCCATCTTCGTCCTGCTGACCAGCTCGGCCACTTGGTTGCCGTACTTGCCGTGCTCCTTCGCGAGCGCCTTGCGCCTGTCCGCCTCCTCCTCGTCCTCGGGCTCCATCAGCCTCTTCTGCAGGTCCCCGTCGTAGCCGTACTTGAAGCGATCGGTGATGTACACGAACGGGGAGGTGTCGAAGAAGGGCCCCAGCGCCTTCAGGTGGTCCTGCTTCATGTACGCCATGCGCAGATTGCAGTGGCGCGACACCTCGCCGACGGCACCTTCGGGGTCCTCGGACGGGCTGGCCTCGCTGCACAGCAGCGTCATGAACGTGGACTTCCCGCAGCCGTTGCGGCCGCAGATCGCCACGCGGGAGCTGAGGCTCAGCTTCACGTTCGCCTCCCGGATGAGGTCCGCCACCGTGCCTTGTGCACGTGGAGGCGTGGAGGAGTGCCAAAGTCGGTCTGCTAGGGCTTCTCTTCTAACACGTGCCCCCGCACCCCCCCCTACCCGCGTCCAGTCGCATGCACCGCCCCCCCCCTCCCTCATACATCAAAACATGATGGATCCGCGTTCCTGACGCCACGATGCCTCGTGACGAAACGGGGCGTCCGCGTCCCGAGCTTCCAAGACGGTCCAGGCAGGCAACCAAGGACACCTAGATGGCCCAAGATGCCTCGAAGACGGCCCAATATTGCCCCGAGGCGGCCCAAGATGGCTTCAAGACGGCCCAAGATGGATTCCTCCAAGAGGACCCCACAGGGCCACAAGCGGACCTCCAACGGGGTCCGAAGACGCCAGAACAAGGGACACCCGTTTGGTTTCTAATTTCGTTTCGCATTCTCGCCTGTTCGGGCAATCGTCAGCTAAAGACGACCCGAAAAGCATCCACGGTGGTCCCAAGACGGCGCAAGAGGCCCCCAAGACGGCTCCAAGACGGTATAATAATGCCTCTCGTGGGGCCCAAGACGCGGCCTTAGAAGGCCTTGCGACGGCCCGCGACGGACCCGCGACGGCCCCCAAACACCCACGATACGGCCAAGAGGGCCCCAATTCGGCCCAAGAGAGCCCCACGACGGCGTCAGAGCGCCCCACAACAGCCCAAGAGGTCCCCCACGGGACCCCCAAGACTCCCTCACAGCAGATCAAGACAGCCCCAAGACGACCCGAACGAGCTCCATGAGAGCTGCTCACATAGTGAAGACCGAAGGTGCGACACGCGACGGCCTTCCTTCTCCTCCTCCTCCAGACCCCATCATGATTTTCATGTCTCATCATCACCATCACCATCACCACTGCCATCGCCATCGCCATCGCCATCACCATCACCATCACCATCACCATCACCATCGTCATCATCATCATCATCACCATCATCATCATCATCATCATCATCACCATCATCATGCTCATCATCATCGTCATCATAATCATCACCAACATCATATCAGAGGCATCGTCATCACCAGCATCATCATCAGCATCACCACAATCAGCTCCACGATCACCATCAGCATTATCACCAGCATCATCACCATCAACATCATCATCATTATCGTAATCATCAGCAGCACCATGATCATCGTCACATTCATAAAATCGACAACAGCAGCATCGGCATCGACATTGCCACCGACATCATCATCACCATCATCACCATCACGATCATCGTCATCATGATTATCAACCTCTGCATCATCATCATCATCATTATCATCGTTATCGGCATCATCATCAGCCGCATCATCATCATCATCATCATCATCATCATCAGCGTCACCATCACTACATCACCATCACCATCGCCATCATCGTCATCACCATCATCATTTTCATCATCCTGATGCTTATTCACATAACCATCATCATCATAACCACAACCATCATAACAATCGTCGTCTGCGCCATCGCCTTCCTCGCCCTCATCCTCATCATCAGCATACGCATCACCATCACGATCATCTTCGTCGCCAAACGCATCATCATCATGGCCACCACTACCATCGTCAGCATCGTCATCAGGCCCATCATCGTCGTCGTCATCAGGATCAGCACTACTATCACTATCATGATTATCATCGTCATCGTCACCATCATCATTATCATCATCGTCATCATGTCTATCACCATCACCAACACCATCACCGTCAATATCATCGTCGTCATCACCACCACCACCGCCATCACCTTCATCATCATCATCGTCATCATCATCATCACCATCGTCATCATCACCATCATCACCATCATCACCATCACCATCTCCATCACCACCACCACCTCCTCCATCTCCCTCACCATCAGCATCACCATCATCATCACCATCATCATTCTCAGCATCGTCATCAGCATAAACATCCTTAGCATCATCATCATCATCATCATCATCATCATCATCATCATCAACATGATCATCAGCAACATCATCATCATCATCCTCCTCCTCGTCATCGTCATCATCATCAGCATTATCATCGGCTCTGTCAACCCTGGAGACAGCACGTGCCACATGTGACGGCCCCCCGTGCCCTCTCGAACAGTCGCCACCCAGAAAGCTGGGCTGGCACGGTTGCGGGACTTGCCGCAGGCAGCTGGCTAGTCCTTGCCCTTGCCGTACTGGAACCAGAGATTCTTGGCCTCCAGCACGGCCTTTGACCCTGACTTTACGCCCTCCATGGTGCCGGGGATCGGGAAGCTGAGCTTTGGTGGGCCGGAGACGGGCGCCGTGACCGCGGCGTCCTCTTCTCCATCGCCCTCCTCGCCGTCTGCCTTCTTCTTCTTCGTGTCGAAAGACAAGTTGCCCGAGAGCATGGCGTCGATCTGCTCCTTGGTGAGCCCCTTCGCCGCGGCGAAGGCGGTGAAGTCACCCGGCGTGTACTCGAGCTTCCTATCCACGTAAGCCATGATGTCCGTGCAGACCTTGTTCAAGAACTTGGGCTCGTGGGAGATCACCATCACCGAGGAATTCTTGATCGACTGGACGTAGTCGCCGAGCCAGCTCACGGACTCTTCGTCCAGGTGATTCGTCGGCTCGTCAAGCAGAACGAGGTCGGCGTGCTTGAGCATGTTTACCAGTAAGGTCAGCTTCATGCGCCAGCCCGTGGACAGCTCGGACACAGGCAGGTCGTGCATGTTCTCGGGGAAGCCCACCTCCAACAGCGTCTGCTTGGTCGCATCGTGGACCCCGATGTCCTTGGCCATCTTGATGCCGTACTCCACGCACGTAAGATGGCTCTTGCTCATGAGGCTCAGCTTGGAATCGTCCACGTGGACGCACTTCAGGTCCTGCGGCATGCCGACAATGCGGTGATTGGCTATCTCCTTCATCAGCGTGGTCTTGCCCGCGCCGTTCTGGCCGACGACGCCGTACCTGTGGTTCTTCTTCATCTCCAGCGTCGTGTCCTTGAGCAGCAGGTGCCCAGCACCGTACATGAGGAGCAGGCTCTCGACCCTGAGCAGGATCTCGTCGTCTCCCTCGCCAACCCCCGCCGTGGCGTCGAAACTGTCCCCGAGCGCGGCGCGGGCGATGGGCTCGGCCACCTTCTCGATGCACTGCATGGCCTCCGCGGGCATCTCAGCCACGGCTTTCAGGGTCTCCGCGAGCTGGGCCGCGATCTTCGGCCCCGAGCTCTTCCTCTTCTGGCCCTCTTTGATGACGGACGAGGCCACGTGGCACAGCTGGCTCATGACGTCCCCAGGCAGGGCCTGCAGCTCCATCTGTCCCTCGAGCACGTCGGCGATCTTGTCGCCGGAGCCACTGAGCATCCTCTGCATGCTCAGCTCCTCGAAGCCGCTCTCCGGCTCCTTCCCAGCCGCGATCCGCGAGGCCTCGCTGCCGTCCTTGGTCTCTGGGGCGTCGAGCTGGAAACGTCCTGCGGCCTCTGGCTCGTCGCCGGCGGGGGCCTCCATCTCTCCGCTCTTCACGAGCTCCTCGACGATCAAGGCGGCGTGCTTCTGGGCGCCGAGGCCCAGGTCGCCGGCGCGCATCTTCGCCAGCGTCTCCTCGATCCTGGGCATGATCGCTTTAGTGAGCTTGGGCGCGCCGCCCGACGTCTTCCACGCGCCGTTGGCGTAGCGCTTGACGGAGGCGTCCTTGTCCCGGACCATGATGAACAAGAGCACCAGTACTCCCTCGCGCGTGGCCTTGTCGGAGCAGTCGTCCGTGGTCAGGAGGTCCTGCCCGAACTTCTTATGTTCCAGAATCTTCTCGGCCATCTTCCCAAGCAGCATGGCGGCCTTGTCCCTAACTACCTGCTGCCTGCTGCGCTCCTCCGCCGTCTCCCCGTGCAGAGTGGCCCAATACACCTGCTCGAAGCCGGGCAGGAGGAGGTGCGGGCACAAGTCGCCGAAGCGTCCAACCAGCGAGGTCGCCGCTTTGAGGCCAGCGTCCTCGTCCTTGTCCTGTGAGGAGGGGGCCCGGGGACACACGAACAAATTCCTACAAATCACAAGATTCCCCATATGTTCAATACTTCCTGGATGTTCGTCTTCCCCTTCCACTTCCTATATTGTCCATGCGGTAGGTGACGAAATCGTGTTCTAAGCTGAAGGTGGCCCCTTCTAAGTTGGACCTGCGTGCGTGCAGCTTCGGAGTGCATTTCGAACCTGCATGCATGCAAGTTCGGAATGCTTTCTTTTCGCTGTCTTCATTCTCGTGGTGGTGATGGTAATGATGGTGCTGACGGCGATGACAACAATGAGGACGACGATGGCGGTGATGATGACGGTGATGCTGATGAGGATGGTGATGCTGATAATGACGATGTTCGTAGCGGCTGGGGGGCGACCGCTGCTCCACGCGCTCGAATGCCCGACTGGGAAGAGCGACCCATTTCAAAAGACGTGGGCAAGTTGCCCGTGACGTACGAAGAGGCTAGCGGACGAGCCGCGCGGCGGCGCAGGCGAGGCGGTCAGTGAGCGCGAGGGGTCCTTAGAACGGTGTGAAGCCGTCGCGGTAGATGTTGATGGCGAGGGAGTAGAGCTTGACTCCGGTCGAACGCGGCGTGCATGGTGGCGATCGTGGTGGAGATCTGGTCATGCATGTTTTGGGTGCTGGTGTCCTTGTTGGTGAGCATTTGGTGGTACTTCCTGCAAACGGCCGAGAGCACGGCGTCGGTGCGAGCAGAAAGGCCATCGGCGAGCTCCTTGAGCTGGAGCTTGGCTTCGGTGTCCATCTCGATCTTCATCTCGTCCACCGCCTTCGCGTAGCGCCGCTCGCTGGCGTCAACGAGGGAACGCACGAAGAGCGCGGGGTCCTCATGAGCGTCGCAGACCACGTCGAAAGCCCAGGACACGAAGTTCTTGTCCTCTGGAGATTGTTCAGCATGAGGATCCGCGCGTGGAGTGGGAGGGTCCTTTCATGGAGTGTGACGATCCGCGTGTTCATCGTGGAGATGTGCGGCGTGATGATCGGCACGTGATGCGTGAAACGCAGCCTGTGGAGCTTGAGGATCCGCCTGTGGCGCGTGAGGTTCCTCGCGTGGAATGTGGGGATTTTCGCGTGGAGCTTGGGGATCCGCGTGTGAAGCGTGAAGTTCAGCGCTGGGTGCATGGTGCTCCGCGCGTGGGGGGGCGCGTGAAGCGGCAGCACCTCGTCGACGCTGCAGGCGGCTGCGTAGACATGAAATGCTTTTTTCAAGCGGATGGAGCCGCCGCTGGAGTCGAGGCAGGCGCGGGCCAGCCCGCATCCCTGGCTAGCGACGTCGCGCGGGATGGAGAAGAGCAAGACGAGCGAGACAGCGGCGCGGCAGACAAGACGCTGTTGGGCTCCTGATGGATGTGCTCGGCGATCGCGTCGAAGATGGGGATCTTGCGCGGTGGCACCGTCGTCGGCGCAGGGCTGCAGGAAGCAGAAGCTGTCACCAGCATGCTCGTGAATTGGAAGTGTACGACCATGGCGTAGTGCAAGAGGTGAGATGATGAGTCGCTTGGCTGGCGTCCCGTCGGCGGCAGCGTGGACGGCAGCGCCATGCAGGCCGCGCGAGTACGGACTTGGAAGACCCGAGCTAGAGAAGCAACTGCGTGTACGGCCTCGCGAGGGAGGCCGCCTAGCCGAAATGCAGGACGACGCGGCGGGAACGCGCGGGGGGCGGCCGCGGCGGGGGGCCCGAGCATCTTGAGCCAAAATGGCAACGGATAATGATGATGCTGCTGATGCTGATGATGCTGATGATGATGCTGATGATGGTGATGACGATGACGATGATGATGCTGCTGATGATAATGATGATGATGATGATGATGATGATGATGATGATGATGATACTGATGATGATAATGATGATGATAATGATGATGATGATGATGATGATGATGATGATGATGATGATGATGATGATGATGATGATGATGATGATGTGATGGTGGTATTGATGATGATGCTGATGATGATGGTGGTGATGACAATGATGATGGTGATGACGATGACGATGACGATGATGGTGATGATGATGATGATGCTGATGATGATGATGCTGATGCTGCTACTAATGATGATGCTGATGATGCTGATGATGAGTACGACGGTGATGAAGATGATTATGATGCTGATGATGATGATGATGATGCTGATGATGATGACTATGATGATGGTGATGATACTGATGATGGTGATGATGATGATGATGATGATGATGATGATGATGATGATGATGATGATGTTAGTGATGACGGTGAACGCGGTGTTGATGAGTACGAACGTGATGATGGTGGTGATGATGGTGGTATTGATGATGGTGATTTCCAGTGACGCACGTGACGACGAAGACGACGACGAAGACGACTGAGACGACTGAGACGACTCCGACGACCCGGACAACTCAGACAACTCAGACAATGACGACGAAGAAGATGACGACGACGACTCCGACTCCGCAACTCCGACGACGACGATTTCGACGACTCCGACTCCGACTCCCACAACTCCGACGACTCCGAGGACTCTGACGACTCCGACTCCGACGGCGACGACGATGACTCCGACCCCGACTCCAGCTCCGGCTCCAGCTCCAGCTCCGACTCCGCCTCCGACGACGATGATGATTCCGAACCACCCGACGACTCCGACTCCGACTCCGATGATTCCGACGACTCTGACGACTCCTGCTCCGACGACGACGGCGACGATGACGACGACGATGACGTCGATGATGACGAACACGACGACGACGACTAAGACGACGACGACCACGACGACTCTGGCTCCGACTGCGGCTCTGGCTCCGATTCCGACGATAACCCCGACGACACCGACTCCGACGACTCCGGCTCCGAATCCACTGCGACGACGACGACGCCTCTGACGACAACTCTGACGACAACGACAACGACTCTGACGACTCTGACGACTCCAACGACGACGACGACAACGACAACAACGACGACGACAACGACGACGACGACGACGACTCCGGCTCCGACTCCAGGTCCGGGTCCGGGTCCCACTCACTATCGATCTATCGATCTCACTATCGACACCCCCCGCCACTGACCGCCACGCGGGACGGGAGGGGCGGACTTTCGTCCTCGCCGCGCCCTAGCCAGAGAAAGGTTCGTTCCTCTCGCCCGCCTATGCAGCTTCGCCTCGCCCGCGCGCACGACACGAACACGAAACAGAAACCGATTTCCCGGTGGGGGACTCGCCGCTCCATTTTGACCTCCGATCCTTATCATCACCACCCATCACGATTAAGAACATCATCCACATCAATCAACATCATCAATATCCATCACCATCATGATCAACATCATCGTCAACATCATCATCGTCATCATCATAATCATCACCACCAACATCATACGCATCCAAGAAGACACGGAAGAGTATGGCATAGCATGGCGTAGACTAGCACGGCAAAACATAGCATACCTTAGCATTGTGTGGCATTGCGTCGTCAACTACTGCATGTCAGAGCATTGCATCGCAAAACATGACACCGCATACCGGTACTGGAGTCCTCGAGCCTTGACTGGCACAGCAAGAACAAATGGCAGAACTGGTACTCACCAACTGCATCCGCAACTGGCGCCAATGGCGCAACTGGCGCAGCAATCACAACTAGTACAGAACTTGCACACCACGCACGACAAGCACACATGGCTCAACGGGCACAGGTGGAAGAACTTGCATCACTGGCGCAACTGTCACAGTCAGCACAACACGCGCAACTCGCACCATCGATAATACTTGCACAACTGGCATACAGACCAGGCACAACTGGCGCAACTGGCACAACAAGCATGTGTTCTCCTGTCGCTTGCTCTGCCCGCACGATTTCCAAAGAGAGCTCCGTGGCGGCCCCCAACGCCCCCAATTTTGCCCAGAACGGTTCCCAAATTAGCCCCCGCAGCCCCCAATATGCCGTCCAAATCGCCGATGACGGCCCGACGAGGCTCCACGATGACACACAGATGCCTTCAATTTCAATTTGGGCCCAGACGGCCCCCAACTATCCAAGATGGCCCGATGCTGGCCCCAATATGCCCCTGAAAGGCCAAATTGTTGCCATCCCCTACGTAACTGTTCAAATACTCTGGCGGTGTGTAGCCACAAACTCAGCCTGGGGAGACGGCAGTAGAACGCGCAACCCTTCAGCTCCTGCCGATCCCACCTGCGGGGTGGGCCATGCGAGACCTCTCTGTGAGAAGGGGTTGGCATACTGCTTGGCACAGTTCGCCAGCGCCTGGTCAAGGTCTCCGTGACGTCCTCCCATGGGGCCCTGCTCTGACGACGGCCCCTCGCGGACCTCCCAGGCTGAACGGACAGAACGGCCCAAGATGGCCCCGATACTGCCCAAGATGGCCCCAGGAGGGCCCCAAGACGGTCCAAGAGGGCCCCGATTTGGCCAAGCGGTCCAAGACGGCCACGATGGCATCAAGACGGCATCATAAGCACCTGGGACGCCCAAAGAGAGATCCAAGTTGACCCTCAAGAGAGCTCCAAGAGGCCAATATCATCGACCCCCTGCGGGTTTCAACAGATTTCAGCGCTCTCGCCTTTTCGAGCTGTCTGCACTCCAAAGCAGCCCAGGAAGCCCCCGAGATCGCCCCAAGACTGCCTGAGCGGATCCCAGGAGGGCCCATAGACATCCCAAGAGGGCCCCAAGACGGCCCAATAGGCCTCCCAAGATGGCGCAAATGACCCTCAAGCGGGCCCCAAGATGGGGGAGCGCGAAGGGGCCTTGGACGCCTTTCCCCTTTAATATTGCCCCCTCCCCACAAAGAACCCTCGACGTGCCCCCCGAGAGGCCCCCCCAAGACTCCACCAAGAGGCCCCAAGAAGCCCAGCGAGTGCCTCGAAGAGTCTTGGGAGGCCTACGTACCAACGAGCCCCAACTTGCACACCTGGCGCCTGTCTGCAGGCCAGAGGGGGCCATGCGCAGACCAGGGGGTCACCGCGCAGACCTGGGGAGCCCTGCGCAGTCCAGAGGATCCTGCCAATGGTGCACCCACCTCTGTAGAGATCCCACCATGAGTGCACCCATCCCTAATGGGGGCCCTGCCAGCCAGAGGTGTATCTATCCCTACAGGGTTCGACCCAGAGGTGTATCCGTCCCTATAGGGCCCCCTACCCGAGGTGTATCCAACCCTATAGGGACCGTGCCAGGGGTGTGTCATCCCTATGTGGGGTCGTGCCAAAGGTGTATCCATCCCTATAGGGATCCCACCACAATCGTACCCATCCCTATCGGGATCCTCCCAGAGGTGTACCCATCCCGATATCGCTCCCACCAGAGGTGTAGCATGGGTGTATCTATCCTTATATGGATCTTACCAGAGGTGTATTCATTCCCTCTGGGACCTTACCATAAGTGCATCCATCCTATCGGGATCGCACCAGCCGAGTATTCATCCCACGGGGATCCTGCCATAACAACTGGCCCAACAGGAACAAATGGCAGAACTGGCACTCACCAACTGCAGCCGCAGCTATCAACTGGCACAACTGGCGCAACAGTCGCAACTCGCACAAAACTTACACACAACGCGCGACAGGCACAACTGGCACAAGTCTCACAAGTGGCACACCTGGCATATCTGGCGCACATGGCACAGGTGGAAAAACTTGCGCATTTGGCGCAACTGGCACAAGTGGTACAATCGGCACAACAAACGCAACTCGCATAATCGAGACCACTTGCACAACTGGCATGCGTACCTGTCACATTGGCACAACTGGCGCAACAAGCATGTGTTCTCCTGCCGCATGCGCTGCTCGCAACTTCGTTTTGGGCAATATTGGGGGCTTTTGGGGGCAGCCATGGAGCACTCTTTGAACATCGCGCGAGCAGAGCATGCGACAGGAGAGCACATGCCTGTTGTGCCAGTTGCCCCAGCTGTGCCTGGTATGTATGCCAATCGCGCAAGCATTATCGATTGTGCGAGTTGCGCCTGTTGTGCCGATTGTGCTACTTGTGCCATTTGCGCCAGTTGTGCAAGTTCTTCCACTGGTGCCAGCTGTGCCAGGTGTGCCACTTGTGAGACCTGTGCCAGTTGCGCCCGTCGCGCGTGGTGTGCAGGCTTTGTGCGAGCTGTGACTGCTGCGCCAGTTGTGTTGCGGCTGCAGTTGGTGAGCGCCAGTTCTGCCACCGGTTCCTGCTGCGCCAATCAAGGCTCGAGGGTTCGATGGCTCGAGGCTCGGGGACCCGGGGCCAGAAGGCTCGAGGCTCGAAGGCTCGAGGGCACGAGTACCGCTATGCGATTTCCATGCCTTGCGTTGCAACAGTGCTCTGGCATGCAGTGCTTGGCGACGCAATGCCACACAATGCTATGGTATGATGCGCTCTGTCGTGATCATCTACGCAATGCTATACCATACTCTGCCGTGTCTGCTCGGATGCTGATGAGAAGTATGCTGGTAATGAACATGAGAAGATTGATGCTGATAGTGATGATGATAACGATGAGAGGGCTGCTGATGATGATGCTGATGACGCTGATGATGATAATGATGATGCGGATGATGATAATGATGATGCGGATGATGATGAGGATGAGGATGATCATGATGCTGATGCTTCTGATGATGATGCTGCTGATGATGCTTCTGATGATTATGATGGGGATGTTGATGACAATGATGCTGATTCTGAAGATGATGACATTGATGACGATGGGTGATGGATACAACAGATGATGTTGATGTATGTGGATGACGCTGTTGATGAGGATTGGTGGTGGCGATAAAGATCGGAGGTCGGGGGTTGAGATCGAAGTGGAACGGAGAGCCCCCCACCGGGAAATCGGTTTCGGTTTCGTGTTCGTGCCGTGCGTGCTGACGAGGCGAAGCTGTGTGGGCGGGCGATAGGAATGAACCCTCCTCTGGCTCGTGCGCGGCAGGACGAAAATCCACCCCTCCCGCCCCGCGTGGCGGGCGGTGGCTCGGGGTTGTCGATAGTGAGATCGATAGTGAGATCTATAGTGAGTCGGAGTCGGGGTCGTAGTTCAGAGCCAGAGTCGGAGCCAGAGTCGTCGTCATCGTCATCGAAGTCGCCATCGTCGTCGTCGTCGTCGTCTTCGTCGTCGTCGTCGTCGTCAGAGTCGTCGTCAGAGTCGTCGTCATCGTCGTCGTCATCGTCGTCGTCGTCAGAGTCGTCGTCGTCGCAATCGGAATCGGAATCGCCGAAATCGGAATCGTCGGGGTTGTCGTCGGAATCGGGAACAGAGCCGGAGCCGGAGTCGGAGCAGGAGTCGGAGTCGTCGTCGTAGTCGTCGTGGTAGTCGTCGTATTCTTCGTCGTAATCGTAATCGTAATCGTCGTCGTCGTCGTCGTCGTCGTCGCCGTCGTCGTTGTCGTCGTCGTCGTCGTCGTCGTCGTTGGAGTCGTCGCCGTCGCCGTCGCATTCGTCGTCGTCGTCGTCATCGTCGTCGTCGTCGTCGTCATCGTCGTCGTCGTCAACGTCTTCGTCGTCGTCTTCGTCGTCGTCTTTGGAAACGTCGGAGTCATCAGAATCGGAGTCGGAGTCGTCGGTGGATTCGGAATCATCATCGCCGTGGTCGTCGTCGTCGTCGTCGTCGTCTTCGTCGCAATCGGAGTCGGAGCTGGAGCCGGAGTCGGGGTCGGAGACATCGTCGTCGTCGTCGTCGGTGTCGTCGGTGTCGTCGGTGTCGTCGGTGTCGTCGGTGTCGTCGGTGTCGGAGTCGTCGGAGACGTCGGAGTCCCCGTCGTTTTCGCCGCCGTCGCTGTCGCCGTCGCCGTCGCCGTCGTCGTCGTCGCCGTCGCCGTTGCCGTCGCCGTCACCGTCGTCGCCGTCCTCGCCGTCGCCGTCGTCGTCGTCATCGTCGTCGTCGTCGTCGTCGTCGCCGTCGCGGTCGTCATCGTCGTCGTCGTCGTCGGAGTCGTCGAGGTCGTTCGGAGTCGGAGTCGTCATCGTCGGAGTTGTCGGAGTCGTCGTCGTCGTCGTCGTCGCCGTCGCCGCCGTCGTCGTCGTCGTCGTCGTCGTCGTCGTCAGAGTCGTCAGAGTCGTCGTCGTCGTGGTCGTGGTCGTCGTCTTCGTGGTCGTCGACGTTGTCTGAGTCGTCTGAGTCTTCGGAGTCGTCGGAGTCGTCTCAATCGTCGTCGTCGTGGTCGTGGTCGTCGTCGTCGTCGTGGGCGTCGTCGCCGTGATCGTCGTCGTGGTCGTCGTCGTCTTCGCCGTCGTTGTCTTCGGAGTCGTCTCCTCACCGCCCGAAGGGCCGTTGCATGCTGGCTTCGTCGCGTGCGTACAGAAAATCACCATCATCACCATCATCACCATCATCATCACCACCATCACCATCATCACCACCATCATCACCTTCGTGCTCATCATCGCCGTCATCACCATCATCATCATCACCATCATCATCAGCAGCAACATCGGCGTTATCATCATCATCATCATCATCATCATCATCATCGTCGTCGTCGTCGTCATCATCATCGTCGTCGTTATCAGCACCATCATCGTCATCGTCATCGTCATCATGTTTCATCGTCATCGCCATTGCCATCGTTATCGTCATCAGCACCATCATCATGACCATCATCATCACCAGCATGAGGATAAAGACGGCGAACAGAAAATAACTCCGAACCTGCATGCGTGCAGGCTCGAAAAGCACTTCAAAGCCTGCATGCGTGCAGGTTCGGAGGGGGGGCGCAGGCAGAAAAACCTAGAACACTTGGCAAGTCATTGGCTGTATGTTCGAGGAAATCAACGATTATTTGTGTCTGTGTTTTTTCCCCTCCAGATCCTTGTCCCCCGATATGCCCATCAGCATGGGCGGGAAGAGCTTGGCGATGAACGGCACGAAGTCCATCTTCATCGCATGCGGCATGGCGTCCAGCAGCTCCAGGAAGCCGCGGCGCACGGACGCCTTCTCGTCGGTGGCGCCCGCCTGGATCTCGGGGACGAGCTCCGGCACCTGGGACTTGTCCATCTTCAGCAGCACCTCTGCGAGCGCGAGCGCCGAGCCCAGCTGCTCCCCAAGCGCGCCGGAGCGCAGCTTGCCGAAGAGGTACGGCTGGTTCCTCCTGCGCGAGTACTCGGGGAGCACCTGCTCCAACACCCCGAACGCCTTCGCGGCCTCGCGCTGCACTTCCGCCACCGGGTCAGTCAGCGCCTCCTGCAGCATCGGGAGCACCGCCTTGAGGTACGGCCTGATGGTCTCGACGTCCTGCACCAGCATGGAGGTCGAGCCGAAGATCTGCGCGGACCACTTCTTGCTGGAGCAGTCGCGCTCCTTGAGGCCGCGGACCACCACGGGCATGAGCAGGGAGAGGGAGGCAGGGTCGATGAGCGACAGGAAGGTCTGGTTGCCCATCTTGGCGAGCACGGCCTGCGTGTGCTTCTGGTTGGTCGGCTCCGCCAGCGCCGTCACGAGGTCCTGCGAGAGCTTCTTGATCTCCGGGGAGGCCACGCGGGACCCGATGTCTCGCAGCACGCTGGTCGTCGCCGTGCGCACCTCGGCGCGCACCTCCAGCGCGCACTCGGCGAGGCGCGGCACTATCAGCGGCAGGCACTGCGCCAGCTGGGCGGGGGTGCTCTCGTCCATCTGGCGCAGGCACGGGAGCAGCACCTCGATGCAGCCGGCCTTGACCTTCCACTCCTTGCTCTCCATCCCCGTCAGGAGCACGGGGACCGCAACGGCCGCCACGCCGTGGCCCTTCGGCGCGACGCCGTCCACGATGGCGCTGGCCGCCTTGATGGCGGGCGCCCCCAGCTTGCTGTCCTTGAACAGGGCGACGAGCTTCTCGAGCCGGGGCAGCACGAAGGGGGTCTGCGACGCCATGGCGGCCAGCCGCTCCACGGCCCTAGCCTTGGCTGCGGCGGCGTCCTTCCCGCTCCCCCCCAGCGCGGCGTCGATCTCCGCCATGACGCTGGCGTCGGCCTTCTCGGCGGCGGCTGCGGGCTTCGCCTCCTCCGCGCTCGCCTCGGCCTTCGCCTTCGCCCCGGCCTTCGCCGGCGCCTTGGCGCTCAGGGCGGCGCGCTCGGCGTCCTTGGCGGCCTGCAGCTCGGCGTCCTTGATGTCCTGGATCGCCTGCTTGTACGTCTCGTCGTCCTTGAGCTTCTTCAGGGCGCCCTCCAGCTCCTTCTTCTTGGCCCGGTTCGGCTCGTCCTGAGGGCACGGTCGAAACTGGGGACGGCGTCGACATTGGGGGCCTCTTGCCATTGCACCGCAGGGGCTATGGGCGCCAGGCTTGAATGACTGACTGACTGACCGATGGGTGCGATGCCCAACAGCAGATGCTTCCTTGAAGTCGACAGCGACTGCTGTGGCGCAGGGGACGTCGCCATCGAACTGCCATCGTTGCGGAAACCCCAAACAAGTCCCGATACAGCTTCTCCTGGGACCTCTCCGGGGTTGCGTTCTGACCAAGACTTCGAAGCGAAGCCAGCGGTGGCGACGAGGGTCTCCCAGGAGGTGGAAAAAGGGGAAAACGAGGGAAGGGTAGTGGTATTGGTACCTTCTCCTCCTCTGAATCGACCCCGAACCGCCCACCCGTCGTCGCCACCGCCGCCGCCGTCGCCGCCACCGCCGCCGCCGCCGTCGTCGTCGTCGTCGTCGTCGTCGTCGTCGTCGTCGTCGTCGTCGTCTTCGTCGTAGTCGTCGTCGTCGTCGTCGTCGTCGTCGTCGTCGTCATCGTCGTCGCGGTCGTCGTCGTGGTCGTGGTCGTTGTCGTCGTCGTCGTCCGCCGCGAAGCCGACAACAAATCTGGCCACCAGAGCGAAGCAAGGAGTGCGTGCCATCAGCCCTCGCTCCCCCTCTTACTGCGCGTCTTCACCTGTCCAAGGACCCCAACATCCAACGTCTAGGTTTGTTTGTTGTTTCATTTTGGTTGTTTGTTTTGCTTACCCCATCCCCCAACTCTCGAGCAGGGACCGACCGTCCTGGTATTGCTATGGGCCTGCCACTACAGGTTCCCAGGACGCAGAGAAACAAGAGCAATGCTCTTGGAACATAGAAGTTTGTGTTTGACACGAAAATGTCCTCAGCCAGAAGTGTTCTAATATTTTTTCGTGCAGAGCACAAGAGGTTTTTTTATACTATTATGTGGTGAGCCTGTAGGCAAGCCAGGACGCGTCGCTACTGCTTGCAATTCGCCTGAACGTAAGAGTGGCACGTGGCAAGAGTGACCCTTGGTGGGCGCCTTCTGGGGGGCGCGAGGGGGCCAAACCCACGCGCGCAGGCCGCTGCCGTCGTATCGGATTCAGCGATCGAGGGGCCCCAGTGGGTACGCCGCAAGGGTCACTCCGGCGCAGGGTCACTCTCACGTGTGGTCGAACAACGCGGATCCCCAGAGGTCTGGACCCCTTCCCAGAGGGACCGGCTTTTAAATACTGAGCCATTTTGCTGACTGTCCCGGGGCCCAGTGAGAGCCCCGGGAGCCCGAACACGAGAACGAGCCCTCGGCCGTGCCTCCTCCGCACCGAGGCCATGTCAAGGGACGCGCGGGGTCCTGGACCACCTGGCTGGCGTCCTCGATCTTCACCTCATGGGTGCGGACGAACTTCTTCTTCTCCTCCAGGGTGCTCAGCGCCACCTTGGGCTTGGCGGGCGCCGCCGCCGGCGCGGCCGCGGCCTTCGCCGCGGGCTTGGGCGCGGCGGCGGCCGCCTTCGGGGGCATGGTGGGCGGGTGGGCGGAAGGCGCGCAAGGGGGGCGTCGAGCTGCGGCGCCTAATGGGCGGTAAAACGACCTGGGCCAAAATGGCTGCGGGGCAGGCAGGGGGAGGATCGATCGATCGAGCCGTCGGGTCGAGCTCTGGGCCATCTCGCGTCGACCAGAGCGGCATACCGTGCCTTCGTTCGTCTCGGCTTCCCCTTCTGAAGTGGAGTGAGAGCTCAATCTGAGCCTTGGATCCCGACTGTGCTGACTACCACGCGCGAGTTCAAGAACCATATTCAGGGGCCGACACTGCACCACACACAGGAGCCACACGGATGCACGGGAAAGATGCAGGGACCTTGAGCGTCCAAGTTGCAACAACTCCAGCAAGGAAATCGGCTGAGTGTCGGCTGCGTGCGTAAAAAATCCGCCGACCCTGTCGGCGTGTGTGAGGGGCTTGTCCGTTCAAGTCGTCATCTCCGTCAGTCGTTGGTCGTCGTCTCTGTCGCCCCCTTTCCCTGCCTCCCCCTTTCCCTGGGCTCGTCGAAGCTCCCCCCTTTCCCAAGGACCTCCTCAGCGCGCCAACCAAAACGAAGTTGAGCAATGTCGTAATTGAGTCGAAGGGAAGCCCCTTCCCTTCGATCCCTCCCCCGCTGGGGGAGTAAAGATAATTGTACAGGCCCCTGATTGCCTCTTAGGACTGTGAGATGTAAGTTGAGTTTCAGAGATTGGATATATGTTTGATCCTTCGCCCTGGGGCTCAAGTCGAGAAACCAACTTTGGTAGCGTTTGATGTGCTATCGCTGTCTCCAGCCGGGCCTCCCGCCGCGCCAGCGCGCCGCGCCGCCAGGCAGAGACGTGCAACACCACAGAGGACAGCTTCAACGAGAGTTTCTCCACGGTCCTTCCGGCCAGTACGACGTGCAGGCCACTAAGGACCAGAACAGGCAAATTCGCGCGCAGTGCAAGCACCTTGCCAAGGCACAGGAGCAAATCATTCTTCATATTTCTTCTTCTTCGAGGAGCTTTCGTTGTGATGGCTCATGATGGTGGTGGTTATGCTTCGGAGCCGGGCTTGCCTTTGGACAGCTTCACGAAGAGTGTTCCTCCTGGTTGGCGAGCTGGCATGCCGAAGTATCCAATACGACGGTACACGCAACTTCTACGTCTCTGGTGGCGTCAGACTGATGTTGGTGAGAGCGCTTGTGGGCCAGCTATGGCTGGCAGGCTTCGTGGTGCAGCATTCCAGATCGCGAATAGCATCAGGGCGAATCGTCTTGATCTTTCCACCGGCTTGATGAGGGAGATGATCGGTGATGAGTTGTTGGCACAACCGAGTCACGAAGCTTGGCAGAATGCGGCAGGTGAATCATTTCCAGCAGAACCTGCCGGAGCAACGGTGTTGCTCAACGCGCTGCAAAAGGAGTTCGGCATGCAGGAGCAGGAAATGAATATTCAGTCCCTCGACGCCTTCTTCATGCATCATCGTGGCAGCCTCAGCCTGTCGGACTACCTCACGATGTGGCGCATGACGTACGATGAAGCGAATCAGAACTCAGGATTGGAAATCAATGATGTGGGCCGATCATATCTTCTCCTTCGGACCTCAGGCCTCTCAGACCGACTGAAGGACGATATCAAGTTGAAGCTCGATGGCAACCTGTCGCGATTCGAAGACCTGATGAACCTCCTACAGCGGATGGCCCATGCTGAGACACATACAGGCTCGAGCATTCCCGAGATGGTCAAGCAACATTGGCAGAACACGGATTGGAATGATGATAGTTGGTACTCAGATGAGTGGTATGACGATTATGATAATTTCTATGAAGGTGATTGGTGGAATGCAGGTGACGGCTGGTCTCAGGATGATTGGTCACAGCATATCCCGGCAGCAGAAGGTATTGAGACAGCCCCAACTACATCGGCGGCATCAGAATCTGAAGACTATTATGGCAAAGGTAAGAAAGGTAAGAAAGGCAGTTCAAGCAATGGAAAGGGTGATGGTTGTACTTTATGTGGATCCAAGTATCATCGGAACTCAGACTGCCCCCTGAACCATCGTGATTCACCGAAGGGTAAAGGAAGCTCAAGTTCTCATTATGGAAAAGGATATGATGGTGGCAAACATCGTTCTTCTTCAAAAGGTCGTGGCAAAGGAAAGAGTCGATCGAGCAAAGGTAAGCGACGCAAAGGAGGATTCTATGGCGATTATGAGGACGACGAGTACTACGACTACGACTACGATGGATCAGAATATGGTTATGGTTCAGAGTCTCCGGCATATCTCAATTATAACTGGTTTTCGTCTTGGAACTCGAAGGACTCGATTCCAAAGACAAGCATCTTCACGGAACATACCTCAGAGCGATCGCCTCCAGCAGCAGAGTTTCCAGAACTACAACTACCTCAGACTCCAGAGACATCGCAGCTCAGTGTAAGCACGCATTCGTTCGAGTTTGTCGGGACGTTGCCTGAATTGGTGCCCCGATCGCCGGATACGGATACATCCGAGATTAAGTCCTCATCGATGTTCGACATGAGAACAACTAATGAGATACCAGCGACGATTGATGAAGATAAGCGTTTCCATCCTCCAGCCGATCAGGAAGAGTCCGTCAACGGTGGCACTCCCATGGATGATGGCATTGGTTCTGCAAAGATGAAGCGAACAATCTTCATGACCACCGACGGCGAGAGTTATGGACAGATGCATCTGGTTCGTGGTCGTGAGATGGCCGGCATCATCGTGGACCCTGGAGCTGCCGCCGGACTCATGGGAACAGATACGATGAAGGACTATGTTCGAACATATCTTAAGGACGCCGGCCTAGAGTACACCCTGGCACCAAGTAACAGTACATTCTCAGGTATCGACGGCAACACGGACCCAGGTCTTGCAGTGGTGACGATGCCTCTCGGAGTCCCTGGAGTGCAAGATATCACGTTCAAGGCAGATCTCATGGGAGGAAGCGGCTCAAAATGCCCAGGTCTCCTTCCATTACCATCACTCTTGGAATATAACGCCGCATTGTTCTGTGATATTCTTGATCACCGAGATGGAGTTCTAGTGCTGAAGATAAAGATCACTCACAAGGTTGTCAAGGCGTACTTCATCAGAGTTTACTTCACCGACAGCGGCCACTACCTACTACCGATTGGACAGTTTGGACAGCAGAACCTTGAAGAGGATAAGCTGAAAGCAGCGGTCAAGCGATATTGCAGCAGTATCTTTAAATCAGTCGATGAAGACGCACCGCAGATTCAGCTTCAGGCCTCGAGAACGGGAAGCAGTACCTCGCCAGATCACAAGACGTCTCCGACGACGGTTCCAGAGATTTCGTGGACACCCACTTGTGACTGGCCAAGCTTCAGCAAGCTACATAAGCACTACAACCTGGACCTCTTCAAGGCTTGGAATCAGACACGTGGGCATCGGTATGCAGATACTGGAGATTGTTGGCCTCGTCATCTTCAGGAAGCTTCTAAAAGACTGGAGAATGAATATCGAGCTCTACCTGAAGAATTCTATACCTTCACGGATTGTGTGGTCATTACGCCGGACAACGTTCAGGAATGGACAGAACACGTTATCAAGTATCGACACTCCAGTGGCCACAGAGGTCTGCCTTTGGATTTTCAAGAAGGCATGAGCGGTTCGGGCAGACTTTCAGCAGTGGCAGCAGCAATGGGTTTTTCGATAGCATTTCCAGTGGATTATCGATATGGCTGGGATCTCAAGACCCCTCAGCATCAGAAGCTTCTTGACACTTGTGCGCAACAGCTGGGTATTCAGACGCATTTCTGGTCACCTCGCTGTTCGCCATGGTCAGTGCAGTCAAATCGGGCCACGCCAGAGAAACGAGATCGAGCACGAACAGCAGAAGTACCGACTTTGACGTGGCTGGATTCACGCATCGACTCCGATTTCGATCGCGGAGAAGCTTCAATTCTTGAGAACCCAAGATCATCGGCTATCTATGCTAAAAGCCCGCTGCGGAATCAAAGTACCAAGAGTCAGAGACAACATACGGATCAGTGTCAGTTCGGTGCGGTCGACGAGACAGGTCTACCGATCCAGAAGCCGACGGCCTTGCTATCAAAAGGAATCCAGCTGGAACATTCGATCAAGCGTTGCCGAGATGAACATAAGTGTGCCAAGCATGGAATCCTTCAAGGTCGCGTGGGAGCTCTTCATCGCACGGCTCTTGCAGCAGTGTATCCCTGGGCCTTCTGTCTGGCGCTCTTGCTTGATATATCGATTCATGTCCATCATAGTGCGGTTGGAGATCTTATCACCGTGAACCTTGAGACGTTCGACACTCACAACGCGTACTTTGTTGGTTGGACATGCGAGCGCTGCAAGCACGGAGCGTCCATCACCTGCGACGACGGCAGCACAAGACCGACCACACCTCACACACGTCAGAAAGGATGCCGTTTCAGTCCCAATCGAATGGCATTACCTCCAGGAGGCGTTCCCGAAGCAGGAGATGCAGCTCCTGCGTCATCAGCAGGCCCTGCTGCAGCAGCTGCTCCACCAGTGGAGCCCCCTTCTGGAGTGGCAGGACTTGACAGCAGCCCACTCTTGCAGGAGCCAGCCTCGTCAGGGGCCGCTCCGATGGAGCCGCCCGCACTGCCACCTGGATTGGCAGGACTTGGCAATCCGCTCTTGCAGGAGCCTGCGGTCTCGTCAGGGGCAGCTCCTATGGAGCCGCCCGCACTGCCAGCTCCAGAACAGCAAGCAGCTGCAGCTGACGAACCACCTCCACCTCCGCCGGCATCAGTCGGACTACCTCGGCGCCGGATCGTTCGGAAAGCAGTGGACCCTAAGGTTTTGGATCCAGTCGAGGACGCGAAGGTGGTGGAGTTGCCTGACTACATCGAACCGAGCTTCGATTTCAGCAAGATCCGTGGGAAGTTGAACAATCCTGAAGTTACGACGAGTGAGAAGGAGCGTATCATTCTTGGCCTTCATATCAAGTTCTGGCACGCACCGCGGGATGATATGCTACGCTTCCTGCGTCGTGGAGGTTTCGGCACGGCAATACTCACGATAGTTGTGGCAGTGATTCCATCAAAGTGCGAGGACTGCATGAAGTGGCGACGTCATCCTACTCGGCCTCAGCACGGAGTCACGACAAGCCCTCACTTCAATTTCCGAGTGCAGACAGATCTATGGTTTATCTGGGATATGACGTTCCTGCTCTTCGTTGATGAATGCATCAGCTATGCGCTCACCACAAGGCTTGTAAGGAAAACACCGGACGAATGGATGAATGCAGCATTTCACTTGTGGATAAAGTATTTCGGTCCGATGTGGTGGCTAGTATCAGATCAAGAAGGAGCAGTAGTATCAGATCTCACTTCCAAGGCTTGCGAACACTTCTCGATCAACAGGGACCTTGGAGGAAGTCAAGGGCATACTGCAGCTCCGAAGTGTGAACGCCGCATTCAGATACTACGCATAGGCAGCATGAAGTTGTGGGCTACCGCGCAGAAGCAAGGTTGGAATGTCAGTAAGGAACGTTGTGTTGAGGAATGCTGTATGACGACGAACCTTAGCCTCAGTTATGGTGGACACACGCCAGCAGCTGCACTTACAGGCGTTCAACCTCGTGAACTTTATGATTTCGAGAACCCTGGTCTGTCAGCCCAGCTTGGCATCCTGGAAAGCGTCCCTGATGCAGTTGAAACTTCATTGCGGCTACGCATGGCCGCCAAGGACGCCATCAATGCCGCGATCATCGAGGACAAGATTGCCAAAGCTCACAACACTCGGGTACAGCAGCATACGGCAGCAGATGCAGCAAAGCTTGTGGACGGAGCTAAGGTTGACTTGTGGCGAGAACCTGACTCCAAAGATGACCCTGGATGGAGAGGACCAGCAGATCTCATCAAGAACTACATGCCAGAGAACAAAGCTATCGTCTCTTGGCGTGGATATCCTATGCTAGTCCCTCTACGCCATATCCGACCTCATGTGGGCTTCACATGGCTGTTGCATCATGGGTCTGAGCAGAGCGCCTATAACACCACGCACGATATGTCCAGAATGGTGTTTGAGCTTATGAGTTTGGTCGAGCAACTTGTACCGAACACTCCGCTGATCTTCGGCAAGTTCTTCAACGAGTCAGAGGGTCAGTATATGATTGTACCTCCAGATCTCTATGAGAACGAGCCAAGACTCTACACGGTCGCCAAGAAGGTGGCCTTGGACACGTTTCTTGAGAATGACATTGGTGGCATCCAGGTCGGCACGCAGTGTAAAAGGACAAATGCTATCCCATCAGCTCGCAGAGGTATCCTTGTTTTGTGGCACCGGAGTTTCAGATCGAACTATGTGGTCAAGGAGCTGCCCGTGAGCATCAACATCACCCTTGCATCACATGGGCCATGGCAGGATTCATCATATGTGCTCTTCTACTTCTTCCAGTCCAAGGACGAGTCTAACGCATCATTTGAGCACGATCCTGATCTTGGCGATGTTCTAGATCCTGGGAGCAAGATGTTGTGGCAGCCCTCTCCGTGGCCTTTCGGTCCCTGGGAAGATGGAACACCATCGACGATACCACCAGCATCAGATTATCAGACACCTCCGAACATGCCAGCACCACGCTTGCATGTGCCTCCGAAAGTACCTCAGCAGCCTCCCACAGCAGCCGACACCACCATGTCTCATGAGAGCCCAATGTCAGTACAAGCTCAGCCAGGACCTCCAGCTCCACCGGCGCCTCCAGCACCGCCTGCAGCGCCATGGGGTATCCCAACAGCTCCGAGTACGTGGCACCCTCAGGTTCCAGTACCACCTACTCCGCCTCCATCATCTCGGATCCCGAGATCACCTGAGCAGGCACATGGTCAGGCTCCGCCTCCACCGGCACCACCGGCACCACCAGCGGCGACCATTCCTCAAGTACCAGCGGCCATGCCAGAACCTGCAGTGTCTCAGAGTCCAATACCAGCTCCATCACCGATGGACAGCATCATCTCCGACGAGCAGTTCGACTCTGGGAATGCTGATGAGTCTGGCAGCCCTGACAGGTCACGATCACGAATCGTACGTTTTCCAGATGAGAGACCTCTTCCACTACTACCACCAGGTGCACAGCATCGACCGAGAGCTCTGCCAGCACCTGTACTACCATCAGCAGCACCAGCGACACCTGCAGTGACAACACCAGCACCTACGTCACAGACTACGGCATCATCATCATCATCACCGAGCGCATCTCCCAGCGCTCCTCCTGCACCGCCGGTTGTTAACATGCAGCCAGCGCCTGAGCAAGCAGTACCCCCAGCAGCATCAGCCAAAGCCTCGACTAACAAACGACTGGACAGCTCAGCGCTTCTCTCTCCTCCAGATCCGAAGGCACCTCGGGTGAGTACTTCAAGCCCACCAGGGCCGATCTTACCGATTTCCGAGCAGTCGATCTCAGGAGAGGCAGCATCGTCATCAGGACCACCTCAAATACAGCCAACAGCAGATCCTGCTAAGACGATTGAGCATCCAGTTGAAGATCCTGATCAGACAGTTGAGCATCCAGTTGAAGATCCTGATCAGACAGTTGAGTATCCAGTTGAAGATCCTGATCAGACAGTCGAGTATCCAGCGGATGACCCTGACAGAACTGTCGAGTATCCAGTTGAGGATTCGGACTCCACCAAGAAGGATCATTACACCGCGAACAACTTTGTCAGTCCGTTTCCAACTTGGTGGACAGCCTCGGCATTACATGCTCGACAAGATCCTGGCCACACGGACGACTACACCGTGGACTACATGTACCATGCCATTCACGACGCCGAGTTACTTCTGCATCAGACACGGATGGAAGAACGTGGACATCTACCCTGGCACGAAGACGAAGCATTTCTTGTTGTGCCTGGACCTTTTCGTGCATCACGTTGTTTCTACTACGATCCGAAGGATGATGAATGCTTCAGTGTATCCAGTGACGAGATACTCACGCCCGACGATGTCATTCGCCATTGGCCAGCAGTTGAAGCAGCTGATCGCAAGGAAGTTTCGAGTTTCGTCCAGCATGGTATCTTCAAGCTTGCCCCATCTTCCGCTTCGGACAACACCGTTGATGGCACGTGGGTTCGGAAATGGGCAGATCGTTCAAAAGGGCTCGTGAAAAGTCGTTGTTGTGGCAGGGGTTTCCTCGACAGACAGAAGAACAGCATCGACCGGCACAGCAGCACCGCCTCGCGTCTATCTCATCGTATGGCCGTCTCTTTGGGTGTTCAGCACGACCTGGTGATCGAGAGTCTGGACATCAGCACTGCTTTCTTGCAGGGCCTCAAGTTCTCGGAAGTAGTCAAACGGGCGGCAGAACTCGGACACGAGATACGCCAGATACGACAGGTTTGGTTCAGGCCACCTCCGAATGTATGGCGACACCTACGTGAGATTGAGAGCAGCGGCATTTATGTCGACGACTGCGATATTGGCTACTTCGTGCTGGAACTTCTTAAGGCTATGTATGGCCTTGTCGACGGCCCTCTCTTATGGCAACTTGCCCTAGCCAACTTCATGGTAAAAGAGCTGAGTTTCATGAGGGCCTACCATGACGAGAACTTCTTCTATGTCACCATGGGCTGGGAAGTCGTGGCCATCTACATCACACATGTCGACGACATCCTGACGATTGCCTCACAGAAGTTTCTTGACAACGTCTATGCGAAGCTGTCAGCACGATTCGGAAAAGTCAAGCGTTGCACACTTCCTCTGATATATGTTGGAGTTCGGCATCAGCTACTGGCCCCTGGACACGTATTGTTGGACCAAGAACACTACCTGATGAAGCTCAAGCCCGCGAAAGTGACCGATCCAAGGCACTTGAAGCAAGACACGTTGGCGCTAGACAAAGAAGAACACCAAGGATTTCGCTCTCTGTTGTGCAGTCTCCTGTGGGTTTGTCTGACACGCGTTGATCTTTGTCATGGAGTTGTAGCCTTACAGGCAGAAATGATCAAGCCGACGATTGCACACCTGAAGCAGTGTAACCAGCTCTTGGCCCGTGCTATCAAGACGAAGACGATGAACGGCCTCCACTACCATAAGCTTCACATGCCTCTACGCTTGGTATCCATCACCGACGCCGGACATGCTTCGAAGCGATCAGGATATCCGTATGAGGGCAAGATGGTACTGTTGATGGGCGAGCCGAAGACAGACTATGATGCTCAGGAGTGGTGGCCAGTCGAGACGTCAGCAGACTTCGCTGGTTATGGACACTTCTTGTATTTCACGGCACGAAAGGCAGCACGGGTGAGTCACAGCACATCACACGCAGAGACTAATGCATGTGTTGGCGGTCTTCAGGTTGCACAGTTAATATCGTCACGAATGACGGAGTTGTTCAGTCAGGTCATTATCGGAAGTCCAGCGAAGCCACGCCTGCTCCTTGATATGGAACAGAACGATATCTTGATAGTGCCATGCGACGGCATCACCGACTGCATGGATTTGTTTGAACTCGTATCTGGTGGACGTGGTCTGACGACGGACAAGACGCAAATAATATCAATCATGTCTCTCCGCGAGGACCGCCTGACTGGAAGATTTCGCCGGATAACTCATGTACCGACGGCCAGTATGTTATCGGACGGCATGACAAAGCTCGGAGTATTTCCTCAGTTGCTTGAGATGTGTACGACAGGAAAGTGGAAGCTGATACCTCAGGAAGGAAAATACATTCGAGTCAAAGCCAGTGTTATCAAGCCAGACTACACCGAGCAGGATCTACGAGACGGAAAGGATTGCCACTATGACGAGTGGCCGGACTATGATGATGATGATTACACCGCCTACGACGAGTACCAGAACCACTACGGGTACAAGACCATCATGATGAACGACAGCGATCTATCCACGGCGCCCTGGGCGAGGACATCTACTTGGACCAGGTGTGGAACTACTTCGGCGACTACATCTACGGCTGAGGCCGGGATCGCTCCACGCTCCGCACCTCTCTAGCTCTAAGCAGTCAAGAGAACGAGAAGCAGAGTAAAGATAATTGTACAGGCCCCTGATTGCCTCTTAGGACTGTGAGATGTAAGTTGAGTTTCAGAGATTGGATATATGTTTGATCCTTCGCCCTGGGGCTCAAGTCGAGAAACCAACTGGGGGTGGGGGGGTCCCCGGGGGGGGTCCCTGGGGGGGGGTCCCGCGGGGGGGCGGTCAGATACGACGTCCCCCCGCGGAGTCCCGGAGACCCAAAAAGCACCAAGACGGGCCAAGAGTGCCCCAAGAGGCCCCGAAGACAGTCCAAGAGAACCCCGGATCGCCGAACGATCTGTCCAAGACGCCTTGACGGCCTCCAGACGGCCCAAGAGGCCTGCACAGCGCCCCAAGGGGCCTCCAGGAGCTTTCCCACGAGAGCCCCAAGAAGCAACATTCATGGATTACCCATACGTTTTGAAAGATTTTGGCGTTCTTGCCTCTTCCGCTTCCCGACGCGCCAAGACGGCCCAAGAGGCCCCCAAGATCGCCCCGAGACGGCCCAAGAGGCCCCCAAGAGGGTCCCCTAACGGCCGAAGAGGGCCCCAAGACGGCCCAAGACGCCTCCAAGACGGCCCAAGAGGCCCCCAAGATTGCCCCAAGACGCCCCAGGAAAGCCCCAAATTGTCCAGGAGGCCTCCAAGAGTGCCTCGAGACGGCGCAAGAGGAGCCCTGGACGGCCCAAGACGGCCTCAAGAGAGCCCCAGACTGTCCCAAGAAAGCCTCTGACCTCTTCTTCTTCCTCCTCCTCCTCTCCTGGTCCTCCTCCCCCCCCCCCTCTGCTCCCCCTCCTCCTGCTCTCCTCTGCCTCCTTATCCTCCTCTTGCTTCTCCTCCACATCCATCTCCCCCCTCCTCCTCCCTCATCCACCTCCTCCACCCGTCCTCCACCTCCCACTCTCCCCCTGCCTCCCTGCCTCGCCTCGTTTTCATCTTCGTCGGTCTCAGGGTCGGCGGCACTGGCCGTAAGGCCTTCGCAATCTATAGGAGCCATTGGGGAACATACGCGACCGTAAAGTCGGCGTGATTGGAGTGTCGCAAGCCAGGCAAAGCACTGGCAGCCAACGTGAAGCCCTGCATTGACGGCATCCCGCACATTGCACAACTAATATTTAATGCAATTAGCTACCGCAACCAGGCCAGCACCTGAGCTGCTTGAAACCTTTAGGCCCCCCTTTACCTGCCTCTCTCCCCCCCTCCCTCTCTTTCTCTCTTTCCCCCCTTCCCTTTCTCTCTTGCGCGCATTCTCTCTGCCCTCCCCTCTCTTTTTGTCTGTTCTCTCTCTCTCTCTATATATATGTCGTTCATATATAGGTGTCTCGATATGTTCCTCTTAGTATGTTGCTTGTAGGTTATCTCTCCCGTTTTTTTTGTTCTGTCTCTCTCTCTCTCTCTCTTGTCCTTAATTCCACAAAATGGGGTCGTTGGATTGCGAGATCAGACCACCCGGCACGCCCGCCCTGCATACCGCGGCCGCCGAATCCCCAGGCTTCCCATAATCCCTGGTGGTCCCGCCCCCCCCCCCCCCGCCCTGCATACCGCGGCCGCCAGATCGCCAGGCTGCCGATAATCCCTGGTGGTCCCGCCCCCTTCCCCCCCCCCCCCTGCATACCGCGGCCGCCAGATCCCCAGGCTGCCGGTAATCCCTGGTGGTCCCGCCCCCCCCGCCCTGCATACCGCGGCCGCCAGATCCCCAGGCCCCCCACCCGCGCCGACTCGCCCACTCTTCATACTGCGGCCGCCAGATCCCCAGGTCCCCAGATAATCCCTGGTGGCCCCGCCTCCCGCGCCGACTCGCCCACTCTGCATACCGCGGCCGCCAGATCCCCAGGTCCCCCACAGAACAGAACATAATACCACACCACCGAACAGAACATTCCCGAGCATACATATCATGGCATATCATATCGTAACATACACCATGACAGAGCATTGCATACTATGGCACATCATCGCAACACATACCATCCCATAGTATGACACATCAAGCAAACCATAACGCATCAACGCGTAACTGAACATACCGAACCAGCACACGCCACATCATCACATACCATGACATAGCATATCATAGCACACCGCAGCATAACAGCACATGTGACAGATGGGATCAGACATAACATAACACAGCGGAGCACAGCATAACATGGCATCGCCGCACTGGCCGAGAACACCGCGCCCCGCGCACACCGTTCCAGTGAGCGCGCGCACCTTCGGGATCGAACGCCGAAAGTTTCGGTGGGGATCGCTTGAATCAAACTAATGTTTGGTGGAGGCCTTTCGGGCCGTGGGGGAAACTTCGGGGCGTGTGGTGCGCCTCTGTGAACGACTCGAACCGTTCTTGGATCGTCACAGAGGCCCCTGGGAGCTCTCTTGGGCCGTTTTAGGGTCGTCTGGGACGTCTCTGGAGCGCTTCGTGTGCCGTCTTGGGGGCCCTGGGGCTGTGTTGGCACCTTCTTAGGATCGTCTGAGGCGGTCGTGGGGCGATCTTGGGAGCCTCTGGGGCCGTCGTAGAGCGTGGAGAAGGCGGAAAGGCAGAATAGCGAAACTCCTCCAACAACTTCTTCTGAACAAATAAATGAATTTTGTTTCTTGGGACAGTCGTGGTCGTTTTGGCTGCCTGCTGGGCCGTGGGGAGGCCATGTAGGGCGTGTTGAGCACTCCTCTTAGCGACTGAAGGCGTTCTTGGGGCGTGTCGGGGGCCTCTGGGTGCTCTCCCGGGCCGTCTGGGATGCCTTCGGGGCGCTGGGGACAATCTTGGAGCCCCCGAGGGCTGCATTGGCACCTTCATGGGGGGCGTCTGAGGCGATCCTGGGGCGACCTTGAGGGCCTCTTGGGCCGTCTTAGAAGGCGGGCGCCGCGGTGGAGGGGCCCAAGAGGGTCTCGAAGGAGCCTCAAGAAGGCTCCCCTTGGGGCCCAAGAGCCCAAGAGGCCTCGTGTGTCGTCTTGGGGCCCCTGGGGGCTACATTAGCACCGTCGCGGGGGCGTCTGAGGCGGTCCTGGGCCGGTCCTGCAGCTTTTAAAACGGTCGTAGAGCGTGGAGAAGCCGGAAAGGCAGAATGGAGAAACTTGCAGAAGGAACACCGTTTCCTGGGGCTCTCGTGGGAATGCTCTTGGAGGCATCTTGGGGCGCCTTGGATGTCTGTTTGGCCGTCAGGAGGCCATCTGGTGCGTGTTGAGTGCCTCTGTTAGCGATTCGGGGCGTTCTTGGATCGTCATGGGGGCGTCGTGAGGCTTGGCCCGTTTGGGGGCAATCTGGGACGGCCCTGGGGCCGTTGGGGAGAAGCCCCAGAGGCCCAGAGCCCCCATGGAGAAGAGTCGAGGCGGCTGGCTGGGAGCCGCTGGCCCGAGGGTGCTGTCCGCGGGGGGCATCTGCGCGAGGCTGCCTAAGATCCATGGAGTCGAATCCGAGGATCGGACCGGGCGAACGGGGAATAGCAGAGGGTGGGGCAGCAGCTCAACACACGTAGCTGGTCTTCCTGGCGCCTCCCGGCGCCAATGGCGGCCATGCAGCGAGGAAAGCGCCTGGCGGCGGGGCCGAAACCAGCTGCGGCTAGGGAGGGGGCAAGAGGGAGGAGGAGGAGGAGGAGGATGAGGAGGAGGAGGAGGAGAAGGAGGAGGAGGAGGACGAGGAGGAGGACGAAGAGGAGGAGGAGGAGGGAGTGGGGAAAGGAAGTAACCCCACATTACCCCCAAGCCCTAGCCAGGATCATCGAGAGGGGAGGGCAGGAGGATGAGGGAGGATAATGGCAGGGAGAGGGGAGAAGACGAATGCGATGGTCAACGTATCGCTCTACAAAGTTGGCCACTCAGGCTGGGTGGCCTTCAAGAGGCAGCTTCGCTCCGCATCCGAACTTCTGCAAGCACGAAAGGAGGATGAGGATGAGGAGGATGAGGAGGATGAGGAGGATGAGGACGAGGACGAGGACGAGGACGAGGATGATGAAGATGATGATGATGGTGCTGCTGCTGCTGATGCTGATGGTGTTGGTGATGATTACGATGATGACGATGCTGATGCTGATGCTGATGCTGATGCTGATGCTGATGCTGATGCTGCTGCTGCTGCGATGAGGATGAGGATGAGGAGGAGGAGGAGGAGGAGGAGGAGGAGGAGGAGGAGGAGGAGGATGTGTGAAGACGAGGGTTTTTGTGCGCCTTCCAGAATGGAAGCGTCTTCAAGGAGCCTCTTGGGAGCCTCTTGTGGCCCCTTGGAAGCCTCTTCGGGGCCTCTTCGGAGCCTCTTGGGGGCCACATTGGCGCCAAGAGCGATCGGAGTGCCGCTCGGAGAGCGCCTGGGGGGCATCTTGGGGGCCTCTTGGGGGCGTCCTCGGGCTCTCTTGAGATGTCGTGGACGCCCCTTGGAGGGTTTTGGGCCGTCCTCGGGGCGTCTTGGAGTCATCTTGGAGCGTCTTGGACCCGTGCTGGGCCTCTCCTGGAGCTTTGCTGGGCGACCTTGGAGACAGCTGGAGGCCCCCAAGGCCCTTATCGGAAGAGAAAAGGCGAGAGAGCCACAAACAAACACCATGTTCGTTTCACTATTTTAAGCCCTCGGGGGCGTCCTTGGGAAGCCCAGGGGCGACTTGAAATCCATCTTGGAAATTTCATTCTCTAAACCTCCCGCAGGCACCCTTGGGCTGTAGAGGGGCCATGGTAAGTCTTCTTGGCCCGTCCTGGGCAGGTCTTCAGAAACTCTTCTGCCTTTTGCACCCTTCTGTGGCCGTCTCGGACCATCTTGGACGCAAAGGAGGGCGGTAACAAAACCGGACCTCCGATATTTTGCGTGTGTGCCAGGGGCTTGGCCGGGAACCCGGAAACTCCGGAATACACTATATATATATGAAACACAGACGTAACTGATACGTTTTATGCGTGTACAGATGGTATTCATAATTTTTAGCCAGCGTGGAACCAACACAATGGTTTCTTGCAGTGTGTGAAAT